CTGTGCGATCCTATTAAGCGATCCTAATGACACCACGGGCACGTGCAGGAGCTCCCTTGTTAATCCGCTGCCGGATGGAGGGCCGCCGCATCACAACGGCAGCTGCCGTGATGTCATCTTCCACGTGGAGGTGCACTTCTCGCTGCGAAACTTACTCATTGAAATGTATTCGCCGACACCTCGAATTGCAAAGTAAATGAAACAGATGCAAGTTGAGAATATTAAAAACCACACAGACCCGCTCGATCCAGTGTTGCATGAGTGCTGTACAGGTCACGGGGCTTATTTGACCATTTGCGAAGGCAAGGAGCATATACATGGATAGTTGTACGGTACAACAGTGCCTTGTTTGTGCCCTGCCCTCCGGTGACCACGTAGCCCCGCAGGCGCGCGATGGTGACCCATCCCAAGCATTGTCCAGGCCGAAACCCGCTTGGCTCCAGGGATCCGACGAGATCGGGCGATTTGTTGCTTAGGGGTGGCAGCACTTGGAGCACCTTGAAAGTGGTCACCGTAAGTCCACGTCGATGTAGAAGTCCATCGAAGAGGTTTCCGAGACTCCGATCCTCTCGTGCACGCCGCGGCCCACCGGCCAACGTTCCCCAATCCCAATCAGTTCCCCAATCCCAATCATCTCTCCGTCGATTCAAGGTTTGCTGCAGTCGCATTGCCAAGTCTCCCGCGATGCAGTCGGAACCATTTCATACGAAGATATATCCCGCATGGCGCGACACAAAGACAAAGAGCCCGACCCCATGTTATAACCTTCACAGACTGTTAGGGGCAAGTGCTGTTCGTCGCGAGTTGCACCGATGAAGGCCGGCACTGCAGCACCCGAGGGGGGTGGATGGCCAAGCAGTCACAAAGATCCCCCGTATAGCCTGAACAGACTGTTGGGGCAAGTGCTGTTAGCGAGCACCTATGAAGGCCGGAACCGTACACGACGGGGTGGGTGGCCAGCACCACGCCCGACCGCCTTTGTCTTCCCAGTGGCGTTGTTTACGCACCGCACCAAGTACTAATTTGAGGCTGAGTCAACCTAGGGGAGGCCCAGGACCCGTTCAGATAATCATCACTGGTGTTGGCCGTGAGCGGGAATCGAACCCGAGTCGCCGGGGTTCGTAGCGCAGCACGCTAACCGCTCCACCACCGCTCCCCGTTGACGAGCGCACACACACACACAAAGATCCCCCGTATAGCCTTAACAGACTGTAGGGGCAAGTGCTGTTAGCGAGCACCTATGAAGGCCGGAACGGTACACGAAGGGGTTGGGTGGCCAGCACCACGCCCGACCGCCTTTGTCTCCCCAGTGGCGATGTTTACACACCGCACCAGGTACTCATTTAAGGCTGAGTCGACCTAGGGGAGGCCCAGGACCGGTTCAGATAATCGTCACTGGTGTTGGCCGTGAGCGGGAATCGAACCCGGGTCGCCAGGTTCATAGCGCAGCGCGCTAACCGCTACACTACCGCTCCCCACACACACACACACACACGTGCACACACACACACGTGTACACACACACACGTGCACACACAAGATCTCCACCTTCATTTGGATCAACACTGACCGCGCTGTGTGCTGCTAATTCCCGGTATCATTTTGGAGGATGTGGAGCATCCAGTGCCGGATTATAATCCAAGTAGCAAAAGCTACACGTGTAGTATATGTACTACATATACTACATATGTAGTAGTATGTAGTAGTAGCTACTACACATGTAGTAGTAGCTACTACACATGTAGTAGCTACTACTACATACTACTACACGTGTAGCTACACATGTAGTAGCTACGGGCCCCGCACTTTCAAGGGCCCCGTGCTCAATGCGTTCAATCTATCAATTCCAGTTCAGTGATTCTGCAATTGCTCTATTACTATAGTACTATACTGCCTTCAATTTTTATGAACGACTGGGTGTTTAAGGTTAGCCATTTGTCGTATTATCTCGCTGTTGGTGAAGTATGGTCACCGTGGTGAAGTATGGTCAGACACCTCGTGGGGAGGCCTGTCGTCCAGCAATGGATGGACAAAGGGTTGTTAATTGCAGTGTAACATTTTTTTTCTTTGTTATTCCTGGGTAGTAAGTGTTATTTCCTATTTTCTTATGCCTCAAAATTACAGACGATGGCTATTATTCCCCACAAACTTTGCTTTTGTGACCAGGACAGTGATATTTTGAATTTAAACTATTTTCTATAACATTCCAGATAGATTCAGTGCTGAGTCAACTTGGAGTAACTTCTATAACATTCCATAACTTTCCAGTAATATAAATAGGAGTATAAATACAGGGGCCTTAAGCCCAACAGTTCAGTTTAGTTCCAGCTGCCTAAGTGGATACATATCTGCATTTTTCTGAGATGGCATCAAGAGGCTGCAAGTGTCCGGCAAACGCAATTTGCTATGTCTGATGCCAATTTACCGAGACAAAAGCGAAAAAGTACTCTGTGGAAGCATCTGCTAAGATGTGTGAGGCCTACAAGACACCAAGGCGCACTAGCACAGGCGGGACTGGCCACAGCGGACCGATTTCTCTGTGGGGGGGAACAACGTCAAGTGGGAGTCACTGGTGGACCCCCGGAAGGTGCTGATGCCACCACTGCACATCACATTGGGCCTCATGAAACAATTTGTCAGAGCTGTAGATAAGGAGTTGGCAGCCTTCAAGTACCTTCAAGATTGCTTCCCTACGCTGTCTGAGGCAAAGGTCAAAGCCGGTGTCATTCGTCGAACCACAGATAATGAAGATCCTGGAGTGCAATGAATTCCCCAAGAAGCTCACTAGTAAGGAGAAATCAGCTTGGAGCAGCTTTGTCGCAGTGGTTCGTGGCTTCCTGGGCAGTCACAAGGCCGAAAACTACGTGGAGCTGGTTGAGACTCTGGTGAAGACCTATGGCACAATGGGCTGTAGGATGTCCCTCAAAGTCCATATCCTTGATGCTCATCTTGATAAATTCAACGAGAACATGGGAGCGTACTCGGAGGAGCAAGGCGAGCGCTTCCACCAGGATATACTGGACTTTGAACGCCGCTGCCAGGGACAGTATAACGAGAACATGATGGGAGACTACATTTGGGGGCTGATTCATGAAAGTGATTTACAGTATAATCGTAAAATCTCTAAAAACGACTCACTTCTAAATATTTTGTAGTAATTTTTGTATTACTTTAGTAAATATATGTTAATTTTGATTGATATGTTTTTTTCTGACTTTATGTGAACGAAAAGACACAAATTCGCCCGTTTTCTCATTGAAAATAGGTACACTTCAAAATATCACTGTCCTGGTAGCAAAAGCAAAGTTTGTGGGGAATAATAGCCATTTTCTATACTTTTTAGGCATAAGCAATTACGAAATAACACTTACTACCCAGGAACAAAAATAGTGTTACATAGTGCAATTATTGTTGTCGTTATGACTACTAATTATGCACTGTACAAAACAGGACTGAAATTAGGCGCTGTGCGTGCACGAGCAGAACAGCGACACCGCGTCAGCCTTCAGGCACGTGCGCTGCACGGCTGTTGTTCGGCACGGTGTCCGACGTTTCGCCACACGTGCCGGGAGCGTCGTCAGGAGACTGAATGTTTTCCCTTCATTGCATGCCGGCCGAGTCGCGCTTGAAAAAAAAGAGGGCTTCCTTTAGCTCAGCGGGCTTCGCTGGGGAAGTACACTGCTGGTTCTAAAGACACATCGCTGTGGTATTCACAGCGCCAGATTAAAGCAGCGGCTCTTTCTTTACTTGGAGCGATTATGATTCTTCATCTTGTTGCTGTTGTACAAACGCAAAGTTCCTCTGGGAGGGATGTATTGGAGAGCGTACTGGACTTGCAATCCAGAGGCCGCCGACGAATCAACTCCATCTCCCTGCGCCGGCAGATGAAACGATCTCGCGCAGGCGACTTAAAAACCCTGTCCACCCAAGAGGGAGAATGTGCCCTGCAGAGCGAACGTGACCAGCAGGCCCATTGTGGTGGGGTCAAGCGTGGGTACCCCCACCAATTTCCGAGACGTCCGATCAGCGTGGAAGAGTAGGCCAAATACCACTCGAGCGGGGATTCTCTGAAGCCCCCTCGAGTTGAGGCCCCTTCCACTAGTGGAGGCCCTTCTGCCAGCAATGGCGTGAGCGAGCAATTGCAGGGCTGCGCCTCTGTCTCACTCTCCGCGTGGACAACGTAAACCTCTGGAGGTAGCAACTCCCCCCGACCCTTCATCCCATCGTCATCATCGTCGCCGTTGTCATTCCAACCTCCTCAGTGCCACCTTCCCGACGACAAATACACGGATAAATGGCACCACGAAGGGTTACACACAAAAAAACCCAACTCCCATTTATTTATTTATTTACAACAAATATTTCTCTTTCAGGACTTCTTACCCTAGAGGCAATGCAGGCTGTTTGTTCTATGAGAGACACGGGGAGCTGAGAGCACACGCTGACAAAACTCACCCAACAGGTTTCAATGCCTTTAAAAAAAATCTTATTCTTCCAAGTTCTGACAAAGGCCTCCAACGCCTGTGTTGTGCATTGCTCGTTTATATATTTATATACCCCCCCTCACAACACCCCCACCACACCACCCCCACTGCATTAAACATCTGCAGCGCTTTTGTCCGAAGCGGTTGCGTTTCGCCGTCAAACGCGTGCAGAGAGGGTGGCCGTCGAGAGGATCACGGGGGGATTGCTCTTCGGTGGCGTGGTGGTGGTGGTGACCGCCCTGGACTTTGAGTCTAAGAGGGCGTGCGGGTTCGACTCTATCTCCCGGCGAGGCATCTGAGGAACAGTGGGGCGCCGTTCTTGAATCCCATCGACAGCGTGCGACCGACCCAGCAGTGGTCAGCGGCGTGGCCACCGCAGCGAGAGTCCAGCGGCAGAGGCCGCGTGCGCCGACTCCCACTTGTCTGGCCTATACTCTTACAGAGGAGGTCAAATGCCCCCCCCCCCCCAATCTTTCTCGGGCTCCTGCTAGTGCAGGGACCCTTCCGCTGGCAGTGGCATGGGCAAGACGGTTTCACGGCTGCACCTTTCGCCGCGTTTGAAGGTGTGCACGTTGCCGCGCGACGTTGCAGACGCGGACACATTTGGGCCACTCTGTGCGAGCTTTCAAAATCCGACGTCCCGGGCTTGGCACTTTTTATCCACTTTTGTTTGACTCAGCAGACGGTGCAATTCTGCAATTGGCGCAGTCGTTTATTAAATAAGCGCGCGGCTGGCTCCATTGCACCCTCCCGGCCACAATGTTGCCCCGTGTTTCATTATTTTCTTCACCGCGCGATGTGAAGTAAATACATATTGTCCAGGGCATTCGCAACTTCACCACGCCGGTCGGTGCGGGTTTGTGAAGGGGGCGGGGAGGACATGGATCTGTTCTGACTTCAATTGCCACTGATGCGAACCCGGCGCCTCCGATTAGCACGGTTGGTTACGTACTGGTGCGAAAGAAGTTCAACATACATTTGTACAACATACAGTACGTACATGGCCGGGAGTCGAACTGCACCAGACCAGGCCCATCGTCCAATGTATGCTTACCGATGTTATGGGTTCCCCGTTTTTTTTCTATCCACCATTCACATTTGAACTCACAAATTCATTTAGAATGGCATTCATTCGTTTTGAACGACCAACCCCATTCTCATGCACAGAGGCAGACAGACGTCAGGCTTTCCCCCGTTACAAATGTTATGATTATTATTATAATCTCAGACACATCCACAGGGTTGTTATATGGCAGATCCGCCGAGCAAATCTGGCTGCCACCTCTGAGGTCCGAGAACCAGCAGGCCACACCGTGAGACGAAGACCCTCGCGATAACGAGAGGTGAACGACCTGTGACTGAGTGGCGCATTGTTACTCAACCGACAACAACTAAGACAGGACTTCTCACGCCGGGGGAAGCACAGATGAACATCTCGACAAGAGGAGCGACTGGCCCTGGGAAGACAAGGAATGGTGGTAACCCCACTTGCAAATATTCATCATACTATGGGGACCTCATTTGCCAGTAAAAATATGATAATTGGTTCTTTACCCTTCTATCTGGCAACAAAAAGGTGTCAGTTTTGTTGCCAGATAGAAGGGTAAAGAACCAATTATAATATTCATCATGTTCTTCATCTGGGTGCTTTTCAAAATGTATCTTGGTGGTGGTGGTGAACACAGTGGTGTATGTGTAACAGTGGTGGTGGTGAACACAGCGGTATGTTCACCCATCACATGAATCGGTCTCTCAATGGGTTATTTCCGACTTTTTTATTGTAGAGACCGATCGGCCTTCTTTACATCGCAGGATCACGAATAGAGGACGAACCACTTTAGGGAGACCTTCATTAAGCAGTGGATTGAGCATCGCTAATGATGATGACATTTCGTTCATTGCTATGGCCAAGGAATATTAGGTCTGTGTCCATCCGAGAACACTCAAGATGCTTTCACAAAATCCATGAACCCCTACACCAATCGTTACGAAACCTACCGCATGGCTTACCACATACCACTGGGCAGAGCCGTCTCGTTTTGGCTCAAGATAGCAACAACACGCGTTCAAATAAATAATTTACATATATTGTTGAAAATTGTACGGCAACAAACAAAAACAATCAGCAGCTCCATTGGCAGATTTGCCTTGCAGGCCCGCTGTCTATCCACCGACCCAAGGCTCCACCTGCACTGTCGCGTCCGCTCTGCCCTCCCCTCTACCCTCACTCAGCACCGGGCCAACACCTCTCCATGTGCCATCCTCTCCCCCCGCAGTACGCAATGCCTGCCGCATGACACCGCACCGCCGTGCCTACCGAGCCCGTCCGTCAACTCACGGTGCCGCCGCAGATCCTCGACCGCGGCGGCACCGGCGGTAGCGCTGCGATTGCCGCAGAGGTTCGCGGTTCAGATCCAGCGGGCCGCCCCGGTTAGCACCGCGGTGTGTGTGCATGTGTGCCGTCTGCTTCGCTCGCAGCGGACGTTAGAGATCGCCCGCGACTTCGATCGCAAGACTGGGCCCACACCGCGTGCGCCGGCGTCAGGGTTCCAACGTTTTGTCAAATTCTAAAACGACACCGCAAGCCACTCGATTGGGATCGTACCGCACCAGCCGTCGACCCCCTACTTCCCCAGGTCACTCTCGCAAAACGAGAGACTAGGCTGGCTGGTCTCGCGTGTTCTCATCTGCTGAGACAATATATACTCTGTTAGACAATACACACTCAGACAATGCATACTTGGTTAGACAACACAGACTTGGTTAGACAATATACACTCTGTTAGACAATACACAGACAATACAGACTTGGTTAGACAATACAGACTTGGTTAGACAATACAGACTCTGTTAGATAATACACACTCTGTTAGACAATACAGACTCTGTTAGACAATACACACTGTTAGACAATACAGACTTGGTTAGACAATACAGACTTGGTTAGACAATACACACTCTGTTAGACAATACAGACTTGGTTAGACAATACACACTCTGTTAGACAATTTACACTTGGTTAGACAATACAGACTTGGTTAGACAATACAGACTTTAAACTTATCCCCTGCCTTCCTCATCACGAACCGCACCCCAAACATTGTGTCCTGTAAATCGCGGTCTCTTTGGACGCAATGATAGCTACTAGTTAAACGCTTTACTGGAAGAGTAGGCCAAAATTACCTCTGCGGTGGCCTCTCCAGAACCCCCTCCGACTGCTAGTACAGTGCAACACTTTACGAATACCACATTTGCCGCCGTGATGCTGTAATATCTCAGCACCACTGCGTGCTTTGTGGCTGCAGGGGCCACGCCGTGCCTGAACTGGTGAAGAGGAACAGCTGTTGGGGAAAACGCGGCTACGAACAACGCCACCGCCACCCCACAAATGCAGCAACTGAGAAAGTCCGCAATAAGCGCAGCGTTCCATTTCTGCGATGGCGCACAGACACCAGGTAAGCCGCAAGCGGAGCTGAACATAAGAGAAGTTTGCTTTGGGGTTAGAACTCGCGAATATATAAATGTGTCGTCAAACCCGCCACCACCCGCCACAGCCAATTAAGTAAGGTTTGTCACGTAAACAGAACGTGCCAATTCGTTACTCGTACAGCACGCAGGTTGTGTGTTGGGGAGTAAACCCACAACATTTAGAATTCGAGTACGACGTTTCGCCAGTAATTACAACGAGCATCTGCAGGCGACAGGCAGATTTGGAGCTGGACAGTTGTAAAGTTAGCGAGCAGCACCCACCACCAGTGCCGATTTCTTTCGCGCAATTCCAAGGACGAACATATTCGTTCGTCGGAGAATTTTTTGTTTATTTAATCGCTACGATGACAGTGAACGTAAACGACTGTGAACGAAAATCATCAAGCGTGCCGGTGACTCCGGCTGGGCCCGAACAACGACCCGCGACACGACGAGATGGGCGTCATCAGTCTCAAACGAAGACGCAGACTCAGATAATGTTGTGAAGTTCTTAAGATACTGCGGCGGATAAAGGAAGACCAATGAGTGAAAATTGGCTACGTGTAAAAATATATAGATGTAAAATGTATTGAGATCACCGATTGGCAGACCTAATAATGTTGGGAGAGATTGCACAATCTCCACACCAACGTTGAGTCAGGGTGGGCTACATTGTGGATTATTAGACGAAGAGAATGACCGTGTGATGAAATCTGCAGACTAAGATTTGACTAAGATTCCACTTGTCCTCTGCTAGACTCGGGCGGCAGGCTCAAGCGAAACGCTGACCAAGCCAACCCCGGGGAGTGCACACGAAGGTCAGCAGGCAAAGGGATATAATCGCTGTTTTGATAACGTTCTAGCGAGATATAAACTCTCAGCGCACTCGATGTGAAGGCAGGCCCAAACTTTGGACTTGAGGGCGACGTGCCCCAGAGTGGTCTACGGCTTTGCCGATCCACCACAGTCTGTGGGCCACAGAAACACATTTAGGTACCACGATAGGGGGGGGGGGGTGGCAACTATTTTGTGAAATTGGCTCCGTACGTGAAAAACAACCGTGGTTTATGGTGATCACACTCTGCTCAACTAAGGTAATTGAAAACAACAAAAATCTGTTGTATTGGAAATGTAAATATGTTGGTGTAACTCAAGTACTGCATGCCAGGCAGAATCATGTGAAATGTGTTTGGTCTGAGCCGAGCTCTTGGCTTGCGAACCAGAACATTGCCTGCCTGCCCACCCCACCCCGATTCACATGTTTCGGTGACAAGCAGCAAAAGGACATCTGTGCATAGAGAACAGTCATAAAGCACCAAAAGTGGAGAGCAGAGGAAACGTATTTGTAAAGAACCTTTTATCACTTGTGGGAGGTGTCTGTAACCACACCCGGCACGGCTCTGCCGGCGGTGGCTAAATAAAGCTTTCTGGGAGCGCTTCCCGGCCTGGTGGTGGATAAGTGGGGAATCTTTTACATCTTCCCTCCTAACTGAGCTCCAACCCGGGGTACATCATCCTGCTATATACATGGTGGGGGGGGGGGGGGGTGTTAACCAGGCAGTGCAAAGAATTGGGATTCACTCCGAGTGGCTATTTATTTGAAGGCAGAAAATGTTGGTGGGTAATTACCAAATCGTGCTATCTACTGTGAAGTGGATGTTAAAAGCCCTTTGATATAATTAGTGAAAGCGGTCCTACGTGGGCTGGTATCGTTGAAGGCAAACTTAAGAGTTTTGACATTCATTTGTACTCCCCCCCCCACCCTGCCCCAGATCTTTTGGTGCCGGCTTAGTGACGACTTTGTCCAGCAGAGGATTGACCATGGCTGATAATGTCCCAGAACCAATTCTTCTAAAAAGCCAATGAAAACCTCCATGAGGTCTCACTTTGAAATGATCCAACCACGCACACACGCACACACAATCTAAGATACAACGGAGAACGCGTCAATCCAAAGCGTCTCATTCAAGTCGTGCAGCTCCTGCTCAGCCTGGAGTGCCACGAGTGACTTCAAGGGTCAACATTCTTCCACCCATTTTTCACTCGCAAAAAAAATACATCAAAAAGGAAACTGCACCCAAGGTCTTCTCCTCCAAACGTTGGTTGCCGTCGCCAATGCGACCGATCCATATTTGTTTCTAGTTTGGTTCACGTCAATATCCTTGAGCCGCTGCTACCCGACAGAATCGTCTTATATCTTGGCTAAGGGCTATCATCTTGCTGGGTGGTGCATGGTTAACAGCAATAAACTACTACGTGGCCTAACACACACCAAAACAAATATTGATCAAAGTATATTTCAAGCACTATTTTACCTTAACTCGCAACACACATTTTGTAGCCACACGCACGTGAACCGCAATATTGTTGCTTTGTTGACTGTATATATATATGAACCGTGTGTGTTGTTTTTAATTAAGTGAAACAAAGGTGGGGGATTGCTGGCGTGTGCCGCTGTACCCTTCCCGATGCTGCTGTGCTGGTCGCTTTTAACTCCATGGGCGCTGTTAACTGTAATGAAACACTCTCCTCTCTCCTCTTCTGCCTCGCGAAGAAAATTCCACCCACCAACCAATCCTCCCTTGTTAAAAAAAATAAAAAAAACTTTCCCATCGCACGCCACTTCTTCTGTGGCACCACCCAAAGCTTGCTTACCACGCACCACCCCGAATTTAACTTGTAGCAGCGGTGGCAATTCCGTAAGCCTCAAGACTGTTGTTGACTTGCGTCGCCACACCGGGCAGACAGAAAAGAAAAGTCGAGCGTTCGCCAAAGCCGGGATTGTGACTGGCAGCGGCGCATTAAGGGATGGGCTCAGCGGAAGCCCCTTTTCGCCAATTCCCAAGTCTTCCTCAAGTTCTATGAACAATCGCAGGCATTGTTCACACACAATCATCCAGGTGGAATTCCTCAATCATACGTTGAAACACAGCAAACGCCCCGCGTAGAATAGCAACATTGTGCCACAACACGAGTGTTTCGCAACGAAAGATGTGCAGGTTTCAACTCAACCACCCCAACATCATCGGTTGCCTTCTCTATGGACCTTGACAATGGCCTCCAGCACAACGGCATCACACGTTTGATTAGGAGCCATCGGAGTCCTAAATGCTGTTTGAGACAGCGCGTTAACACACAGCACGTTGGTATCGTGAAGAGTCATTTCCAAAAGGGATTGGACGAGTGCATCACATCTTTATTTAGAACTGAAGTATGACCAGCGCAGAGCATGGCACCGTCCTACAACACTGGTCTTGAAAACAAACGGTGTCAAATAAAACCAAAGTATGGGAAATCGAAGCACACGTTTATTGTTGCACATTGTTACTGCAGACGCGTGCACTCAACACCGGTCCGCTCTCCCTCCTCCCAGCCTTGTTTCACATCACTCAGCTGTAGATAGAACATGTGAATGAGGATGCAATTCAAGTGAAAAGTGGACAGCCCTGGCCGACTTCTCGCATATTTGTAGAGCCACAAATCACTCAAAATTGTATTATTGCTGCACAGTTTTAAAAAAAGATAATCTATCAGCACACTGAACACCAATAATTACGAATCCTATGTTGATAATATGCAACATTTGTTCAAGGGAAATGTACCCATGGGTTAACTTCATTCGCCTTTAATTAGCAAAATTGAAAAGGCCCGATTTGCAATCTCTGTATAGGGCTAGCCTCCACTGGGTGCATACAACTTAAGGGGTGTACATACAGGGATAATTCATTTGGTCAGGGAAGCAACAGACAGCTCTGCTCTTGACAAGATTGCATATTGACCACCATCTGCTTGAAAGCAGGAAAAGTGAAAGCAGATAGCTTAACAATCTCTCCCTTCTTTGGATGCTCCCGCTCTTCGTTGGAGGAAACTATTTTTCTGCCACTGCACGTGGCGGAAACGAGATGGCCGTCAGTGAGCCCCCCCCCCCCCCCAGATGCGCCAAACTCCTCTTGCACGATCCCAAAAAACAGTTTACGGCCGAAAGCTTTCGTAAAAAAATGAATCCACAACTTGGAAAAATGTTACTGTAAACAACTAGGGAATTGTTTCATTCAGTTTTCATTACATGGAATGCCAACTCTTAAACCCATACCCAGAGCCAACGTTGTGTTTAAAGAGCGCAGCACTGCACATACTAAAAAACACAGCGGCACGATCCTCTTTCTTTCAGATTATATTTTTAATAATTGTTTTAATCTCTCAGCATAAATACAGCGGGTGTGCTTTTCAAATACAGTACACGTTTCATCACACGTCTACATAGTAGAGCTGAAATTGTACAGTTCATAAAAACAAATGTTTTTTAGCCAGTTCATCCCTCCCCCAGTTCATTCTTAAAAAATGTTTCCTGGAAAGATTCCATTAATCTTTATATCATTGTGTGCCTCCCCAAAAAAATCTTCCTTTTTTTAACACAATTTTGTATCGATTTCTGCAGTTACATTGTTAAGCTTGTACATCTTTACGATTAGAGTGCAGACTACTAAAGTGATGACAACTGTACTGTACTACGCTGTATTCAATCACTTGGGGCAGGTTTCTTTTTCCCCCCAAAGCAATTTTATTTATTAAAATATATAAGCTATGTTAGTTTCAAAATCAACAGGTACAACTGTTCCAGTTAAGCAATATGTAGGTAGCAAGGGTTGGAGTTGTGTACAGTACCTTTTTTTTTAGTTTAAAAAGTAATTCATTTTCCATTTTAAAAACTAAGTATTTGTCTGTGCACTGCATTCACTCCCCGGGCCATCTTAGCCAAGCTCCAAGTGAGGTAGATGAACATTCAAATGTTCAGTTTGTCTGCAGTCTCTACAATGAGTATTATTTTCCACACAAGGAATGTCCCAGCATGCCTTCAGCCAGTTCCACGTCCTCAACGAGAACAAAGTCCGCTTGTTTCGAAACAGCGGGTTTTTCACAAAACTGATAACTTCTCAAATGAATCTTGAACAAGAGTGATTTATAATTGTCCTGGGTTACATATTACAACCCACGCACTTAAAACATAGTTCTAGGACTGCAAACTTCTTAAACATTCTTTTTAAAAAATATAGTTAGTTTTGACAATTTACAGTCCGTGATGGTTCCTCACTTTGCAATGTCCTCATCCAAAATTAAGGATTAAAAAGAAATAACGCAAGTCAAGCGATGCCCCCCACCCCCCCCATCGTGTCATTAAAAGTCACCGTCAAATGTTGATTCACCGTCAGCATTAGTCATCGCCAGTGTTGATTCGCACACTTCCGCTGAAGCTGACGTCAAATTAAAAAGCCAGCCACTGGCTTCCAAGTGGGTCCAGCCAATATTATTGCTATAGAACACACTTAAGACAGTTGGGCGCAGATTCAGATAAAAATGTAAACATTTAAACAAACTGTTCTCTTTTTTTAACATTCCTGGCCTTTTAAGTGAAATGAAACAGACTCGTACAAATCCAAAACGCAACAAGCATGCTATGGGAGCACCCCAGAACCTTAAAAGCACGTCTCACCCATCTGTAACGTCAAAAATTTCAAAATTCACAAAGGTGTTTTTTTTTAAACAGATATCTTAAGTCTCTCATGCAAAAGACCTCTGACATTGTTTCCCCCCCCCCCCCCCCAAGAATGGCAGTAAAGAGAACAGTAAGAAAAACTCAAAATTACTCATTTCCAAATGCATTTCCCCAGCTCTGGCATGTGCTCCAAACAAAAGCAGTTTATGCCAGTTGCTGGGAGTGACATTTTACATTAAGTGCAGCTATGCACCGAATGAGTGCATATCTTAGTATGATACCATGAGGCCACAGCGGAGCAAGTCGACCCAATATTTAAACGAGCTATGGGAAAACGGCACAACTTTGTTTCTAAACCTCAGTTTCAGGAGATTGCATTTCAGGCTATAGCATGAAAAAACACAATTTTTTTTAATCCCTATGTTCAGTGTGACCCGTCATGTCTCTTAAGATTTTTTTTGCAAATCCCAATTCTAAAACTGCAGCAAAATCTTTCGTAAAGAAAAAAAATTGGTCCAAAAAATGTGTGACACACATCTAGAAAAGAATATGCAACTATGTATCCATATGATGTGCCGTTTGTCTTAAATTGTATCAACAAAAACTCACGGATCCGTTACATTATAGCCCACAATGCCCTTGGTAGAACCACACCAGTCTCACAAAATAACACCATCGCCTGAAACCAGTTTTAAAAATCCTTGTTCCCATAGCTCCAAGTCAAGGCTTTTAAGGAAGGTGATAAAGTTGTAAAAATCTAGGGCCAAATATGAATGCAGTGTTTAACCGCCCAACAACAACGTAGGTCTGCTGTATGTCAGGTGCAAGAAATAATTTAAACAGGGGGTTTCACTGCAAAAGTCAATTTCCCAAGCACCACTTGTTAAAGAGTTGGCCCCACCCGAGTGGGAGCAGTGGTTTGAGATTCAGATCTTGCAAGCAACCATTTTTCCAGCTCTCCATGACAACCCCCATCCATCACTAGTATTGTAATATGAAAAGAAAAGCAGAATTATCTTGATTGGCAGACATCTGAGCCATGGGCAGGTCTAAGTTTTTCATCTCGTTAGTTAAATGAAACGCTGCAATGCGAAAGTGGTTTCACATATTAAATTAAAATAAAAGCAGCAGTTGGTGCTTTGTTGTTAAGAGTAAAATAATCCAAGCCACAACGAGCACAAGCTCCTGCCTGCTAACTCCAACAGAATGTTTCATCTTGTGGCTATGCCCATGTCAACAGATATAACTCTGATGCTCACTCACAGGACACTAAAATTGGTATTCTTCCCCCCCACTTTTTCGCTTTCTCATCAACTGACCTGAAAAATCCAAAAGCAATGCCATGCTCAACAGCAAAAAAGAAAATTAAAGAAAGGGGTTAAAACTACAATTGTGCCATCAAAATACTGTTTGCAGTGTTTACATGTTACATTTCATTGTATTGTATATAACATACAAGTCAGTTATACAAAAAAACTTTAATAAAAATAGCTGCATTCAAAGCGTATGTTCAAACAAATATGCTTGAAAAAGGACCTCCTTTTCAATCCTGTCGTATGCCCAACCATCTTAAGTCATTTCAGTCATTTCATTTTAAAGCCAGACATTCAACTGTATCTTCACTCCTCACTTTCAGTACCAGCGCTTTCCACTGTTCATCACATGCTCAGGGTCATGACAGCGGTTCTCATTTTAGAAAGACTTTATTCAGTTCCGATGTCTTAAAAACTCCACATCGCAGCCACCATCATTAGCGATCACCACATCGCCATCGCGACCACCACCACCCTTAGTCATCACGTCCACAAATAGTCCTCGCCACCGTCTCTTTAAAAACGCATTGCCGACCGAACGTGTTGACGGAAGGGGGCACTCGGCCGTGTCTCATCTCACTCGGTCACTCTCCGTCATCTGCCAGAGTCCCAGGTTGAGCACCTTGAGGCAGGGCAGCTGCGTGATCCTCTCCAGCCCTCGCTTGGTGATGCGGGTGCATCCGTATAGGTCGATGCCCGTGAGCTGCGTCAGGTGGTCCGCGATGAGCTCCAGGCCCTTGTCGGTGATGCGCGTGCACTGCCCGATGTTGAGCGTGCGCAGGCTGCTCATTTGCCGCACCATCCTGTCCAGCCCGTCGTCGCTGATGTGGCAAGAGCAAAGCGACAGAGACTTGAGGTGGTACAGGCCCTGCGCCACGTTCGCCAGACTCTGGTCGGCCACCTTGTCGCAAAACGACAAGTCGAGACCGCCGAGCCGCAGCGTGCCCGTCGACAGATGCATGATGCCCGCATCGCTGATATTGTCGCACGAGCGCAGGTTCAGCGTCCGGAGGCTCGCCATGTGCGACAGGTGCACCATGCCCGCATCGGAGATGCCGCCGCAGAAGCTCAGGTTCAATGTCTTGAGGTTGGTCAGGCCACGCGCCACACACTTGAGCGCCGCGTCGCTCAGCTTCTGGCAGTCCTGTAGCGTCAGGTGCTCCAGGCCGGTGCAGCCCTCGGCCTCCGTCAGGCCGGCCAGGTGCGCGATGCCCGCGTCCGACACGTGGCGGCAACTGCGCAGGTTGAGGCTCTTGAGGCCGCGCAACCCCCACGCGACCAGGAAGAGGCCACCGTTGGTGACGTTGCTGCAGCCCGCCAAGTCCAGCACCTGCAAGCCTTTGAGGTGCTGCGCGATGCGCTCCAAGCTGCTGTCGGTGACCTGCTTGCAAAGGCTGAGGTTGAGCACACTGAGCGACGGGGTGTCGTGCATGAAGGCGTGGCCGAGCCCAGCGTCCGTCAGGTTGTAGCAGCCGCTCAGGTTGAGGCTCTCAAGCCGCGGGAGGCCCTGCACCACGTAGCTCAGGCTGCGGCGAAGGCTCAGCACCTGCAGTGCACAGCAAACAAAACAAAGGTTCAGTCTCAGGTGGAAGGAAATGGACATTTAAAAAGATGCGTTGCACAGTTCATAACCAATGATTAAATTACCTAGAATGTGCCCAAATATAGTCAGATCCTGGAAAACAAGCAGGTTTGAGCCTGGCTAGTGCTTGCATGGGTGACCATGCATTAAAACAAGTTGGTATAACACTGTTATAGGCTGTAGAGTCGCAATTTTATTCACAAAAAAAACGTCACGTTAACACCATTTCATTTTTCTTACATGCAGTTTCTCTCATTTACAAATCTTAACTGGATTCGCACATGAAAAATAAAATGCATGCATTGTGAGCATTATCAGTCGGAATCGGTGTATCATTAATTACAGACCAAGTAAACACAGGCAGAGCTTCAGTCACTGCCGAATTTTAAAGATTGGAATTAAATAGATGGTGTTATAGTAGATCTCCCACTGGCTTACCAGTCAGCAAGTCTTTGTATTGTAGGGAATTTAAAATGTAAACCTTAACAAAAGGAACCCGGAGGGCATGTTGAAGGTCATCAATGCATCTTTAACATCCACTTGATGGCAGATGTAATACTCGAGTAATATTACTCAAGGATAAAAAGAGTGCTAACGATCAATACAATCCTTTATTCAATACACGAGTTTGTAAAATACAGATGTGCTGTGTCACGGACGTTCATGTGCCAGGAAGTATATTTTGTATGCAGACACGTCGCATTGTTGTTTGTTATTACTAATCACATCGACATCTGCTCTGTCAAGAGCTCCATGGAATGAGGAAACGCCGTCCTTCTAGAATCCTCGAGCAGCAAAACCTCGCATTGGAGAATGGACCACGGAAGGCGGCACCAACCACCACACTACTTCTGGAGTCGCTCAAAGTGGGCCTCTTACCCAACACTGGAATGCACCCCCCTTCATTCCCACATGGCAATCGTCCAATATACAATACATTATATATTATTTATACTTAAAAGTCTCCAAGCTGGGGGTAGGCCATTTATGCCCAAGAGCAATCTGTGTGACACTACTGCATAGGTTTTGGCAGTCGTGATGAGATGGCTTTTGACAATGAAGCTCTCCGCACGTGTAGCGAAATGCCGGGCAGCATGCTTTCACAAACACCCGGTGCAACCCGAACAGACAAAACTACAACAATGTACTTTGTGCAGTCGGTGATGACCGGGTTGAAACCATCAACTCACTGTACTCAAGAATGTGGCTTAATCACGGGTCGCTGCCTAGCCGAACCCATGTGCTGCTCCAGTACAACCATTAGCTCCCATAGCCACCCGGCCACTTCCTGTAGGTGATTAACCAATTTGTAAGAGCACAAAATGGCCAACTTTCCAATTTTTACATAAATGTTTCACCCTTACATCATGCATTTCCCTCTGTCTCTCGATGGAGACAATGTCCCATCAGCATCCCACCTCGTTACAAGTATTTTTTTTATTTGATCTAAAATAGTAATTTATGCCTTTTATATTAGGTGAAAACGTTTATTTTTTTATGAAACCTGGATGAAAATAAAAGATTGAATTGTAAGTGGTGCAAAATAAAATACTCACGTTTGTGGGTTAGCACGACCTTCTAAAAAAATGTACAGCAGGCTAATATTTCTGAAGGTGGTCAGGAACCTTTCAGCAAGATTATAAGCGCAATTGTCCAAAACATTAAACTATTGTACATTTTCATGTTGCAAGGCCGTGCTCATGATGAACATGGAGTTGAAAATGGTTTCGTGCAAGATAACCATTGTTGCATGGCGAAAGTTACCAGATCAAAGCTGTAACAACAGCGGGAACATCACAAATTATGAATGTTCAGTATGCGTAATGGTCAAATTGGGCTACATTTAGATGCCAACGCTGGAACAAAATCTTACAAATGAATAAAACATGTAAAAAGGTCTACTTCACAGAAGGAAAAACAGAAATCACCATACGGTGCAGTAAGTACAGTAGCAAAAAGACAATGATACAGAATAAAATTATAAATACCATGTTGGGATTCGAACCTTCGACCTCGCCATCTGGAGATGAACGCAATGACCGCCTGGCACCACCATGCATTCCCATGTGAAAGTAAACTCTGGCTCCCCTCCACCCACTCCGAACATTTACTTTGTGAAGGGAAAACTGGGGAGCTCGACAACGCACTGGACCCATCTCTTGAGGAGGGCAGTCTGGGGCCACCTACACCATTCGTGCCCTGAACCTAGGACCTCTGCACCATTCCCTGGGAACCATTCCTTTGTGGAATGTAACCTGAGTGCTCTCTCTGACCTTTCCCTTGTACGGGAAGCCCGGAAACCCCCAGTAACCTTTCTTGTGTGAAGGGAAACGCGAGGGCTTCCATGTCCTCCTCCAGTGTTTACGTGTGCATGCAGGAGTGCAGTCGCATTGTATGTACACGTTACATAGAAACAAAGGCAGATGAATACTTGATGGTGCACGTGGGAGTTCATGTACTATGTACATATACACAATATGGATTCGAATATAGTACACGTGCAAGTATACAGTATGTGCATGTCAGTTTATGTCCCGTATATACATCGTGAACCTATATTAGTGAACAGTAAATGGATACACGAAAGTAAATTCGTATGCAATGTATTATGGTCAAATCTAAATATTAAATTGAATACAACAAATTCAATCCGAAACTCATCGAGTGCAATCAATTACTTAGTGTGAGAGTATGTGTGTGGAGAATACGTTAGTGTACTTAAGTGGATGCAGCATGGACGTATACAACATGTATGAGTGTATACAGTATGTGTTTGTTCATGTGGAGGCTGTCGTCCTACAGCAACAGACGGAGGGCAGAGGAGCTACACTTCAGAACGAGTGAAGAGCCGTGCGGCTAAAACAGACATTTGGCACAGTAGGGGGCACAGGTGGTGGCATCGGCCACTCATCCGTCAGTCAACCCATGGCACCTGGGTTTGTCCCGTGACCTCCTGCCAGTGGGCGTTTGACACTTCATGGCCGTAAAGTGCACATAGCCTGGCACAAATGCCGTGGTGACGTCACCGCCACTTGGTGGCGAATGGCTGTTGCTGTTGTGTATGGTATATCATTGTTAACATATTTGGCAAAGGGGGCCTTGGCTCGGTGGCAGTTTGAGCAGGTCACCAGGTGTTAAGCTTGCAGGTGCAAATCCTTGTTGGGGGTAGATGCCACATGAGATTCATTCGGGGTCAATAAAACCAAGTACCACTTTATGGAGAACTCGGCAAGAACTCGTCCCTGTCATACGAATGAGGAATTTTCACCGCTGGCAAATAGTGTAAAATGGGAGAAAGGGGTCACACTTCAATGCTCATTTGTACAGAAAAATCACGAACTTTCACATTTATATGCAGTATGCGTGTCGTACATGCGAGTTTTATATTCCATGCGAGGATATACATGAATGTGCGTATGCGTACATATACATGTTAAGATGTAGTGAATAAAATGTGTACAGAAGACGAGGGGAGTTGTGACTTCAAATGCAGCAAATTTACACTTAAACAGGCACGATGCAGCCACCTCTGGCTGAAGGTCTCCCCATAATCAACAGCAATCCCTCAGTCTTGCTATTCTATAAATCTAACTTGCCCCCCCCCCCCCCGCACAGGAGCCCAATCTTGCCACTCCTCCGTAGCCAATGCTGGACATGTTCCCTCTCCTTGGGCCGTCATTCCGTCACCCGGTCTAATCCAGTCTAGCAACCATGCACCCTACCCACGACCAATTATTGCGGGTGCAAATTTGACGTCTCAAATTTGCATGTACAGTATTATTTCATTCAAGTCTTTGTCATCTTACCCCGGCGTATTTCCCAGCAGAGCTGCAACTAGTGAATATAAAAGTAGTCTATCAATTGGTTTAATAAGACAATTGAATATAGTTTACATAAAAAATGCAACAATTACCCCACAAGGCTGAGACTATCTGCAGAACAACCCATGTAAGAATAGCCCCATACTAAAACACAGACTGTAGTTCAATTACTGACAATAAACCAATTCGAACGTTACTAATCATTAAATCAGAATAACTTTTAACGATACACTAACATTCCACGATTACAATGAATACACATTGAAAACAGCCCCTTTGTTAAATCTACGGCTGGATGATGGCCTCCCCATTCTGTCATCATACTTCACACCACTGGTGTGGCTTTGTGAAGTCTGGATCCGGTTAGACGTCAATGGCAGCTGATTGTGCCGTGGCCAAGAATTGAACTCGGTTCGCTGGGTTCAAAGCACAGTGCATTAAACACTGCGTCACGGCGCCACACTAAATATAACACGACAAATGGAGAATGTCCCTTAGAAAAAACTATAAGACTAACACTTAAAGTATAATCGTCCTATACCAGTAAATACCCATAGCAAAGTCTAATTTGGGCAAGGATTGAGGACAGTCACCGCATCAACATGCGAGGCTGGATGTCTGGGCCTCGCCATATTATCATGGCTGCCGATTAATAGAGTCCTAAAATGAGATGTACATAGAATAATATTCTACTGCCTCTCCCATTGTACGTGTCAGAAACCACGTTTCCGATCTCAATTCCAAACCGGGCATATGCAATGATTGCAAACCTTCATCGCGTTCAGGCACACTACAAAGTAAAAGACCGAAACATCCCCAAATAGTAACCCTAACCAAGCAACATGGCACTATACAGTACCGAAATGCGTAGTGGATGGATTAAAGGAGACCCATTTACTGAATGTTTACACAATTAAATTGCGTCGTGATGTTTTTCTCACGCGTGGAGACAAAACCGACTAATAACTAGAAGCCCATTAGTCTCTTAGTACACCTACCGGAAACTGTTCACCAAGACCAGAGAACTAAATCAATGTACAACGGAGGCAAGGCAATTGGGATTTAGAAAAAAAAAGGTTTTCTACAAATGACAATAAAGATCCTAGAAAAATACGGAAATCAAACACCATTATTCCAGGCTATGAGAATGCGAAAATAAACTGTGGAAATTATGCATTTGTCCAAGATCCCGCGAATCAAGGCGTTACATTTAAAGGCAATAATACAACTAGTTACTGTATAAACGCAGAGCACCTATGCGCCGATTGAAAAACGTAACAGAATACGAAAATCAGAAGGGGTCAAACGTCTCATCAAGGCTCAGAGCAAGCAAAATTTTATAAAAGATATTCTCCAAAGATAGTGCTGGAGAAAATAAATGCATCAATATTAGGGACGCATTAAATTGCACCGACCACGAGTCTTTATAAAACTACAAGAACGGAAACTCTTGAAAACGATGCCACCTTTAACATCAAAAGCTACAAAAAAAAAGAGTTGGGCTAAAAGATAAAATGAACAAAACCGAAAGTCTGGTACCGTATAATAATCTAGAACCGTATAATAAGTTTGTTGAGCAAGAAGGACATTTGTTGGGACCTCGACAGAACCCGATGTAGTTACTCTGTACCACTTAATTGTCGAGGGCGGACGGCGATAGAGGTTTGAGTACTTTCGGGAAAACTCAATAATGGGGGGGAAAAAGCACAGCATATGCAAGGTGCCTGCATGGATGAAGTTGCATTAATGCCCAGCATCTCTGCGCAATGCACACAGTGTAAGAAACTAGTTAAGACGCCACACGCTTCGCAAAATCTCGCGTATAGAATGAAAATTCTAAACGAGTCGTATTGAGAGTATACAGACGTGTTTGTAGAAGTCCGGTTGGCCAAGTATGCAGCACAGGAACATGCGTGCATATGCAAGTGTATACGTAGAGTTAGTGTGCAGGACAAGCGAATGGTGTGTAGCAAGCGTGTGCTCGCGACTCAAGTATGTGACACGTGTCAATGTGTAGACATGGACGAGGTTGTGTTTAGTTCACAGTACGCGTGTACAGTGTAAAGTACATCGTTGCATGCATAGTTCAGAGCAAGTGCCGGTACAGTTGAGTACAGTAGTGTACAGTGCGCGAGTGTAAACTCGTACAGTACGCCTGTATGTACTGTACATGCACACATTACCATAGTAGACGATGCCATACAGCACTCACAGATGTACTCGCACACCCTCACAAGACACTAAACCACACAACACACCACACCATAGGCGACCACAAAAAGAACACACCACGTGTACAAATGACCGCACACACCATCGCCACACAGTAACCACACTCGCCACACCACAGACACAGAACACACACAGGCAACTACTAACAGTCACACACACATCACCAAACTACCCACATTGTACACGCCCGCGGGCAGCAGGTACACAAGCGAGCGGTGCTGCTCCACACAGAAGGGGCCCATCTCTCCCACCCCTCTTACCATCGCCTGTGTGTGCGTACACACGTGTGTGTGTGTACACACGTGAGTGTGTGTGTGTGTACACGCGCTACAGCGTTATAGAGAGATAGAGAACGACGGGAAGAGGGGGGGGAGAAGACGGCCACAGCGGCGATCAACCATTGGGGTGGTGTTGGGGGTGGTGTGTGTGGGTGGTGCGTGTGGGTGGTGCGTGTGGGTGGTGCGTGTGGGTGGTGCGTGTGGGTGGTGCGTGTGGGTGGTGCGTGTGGGTGGTGCGTGTGGGTGGTGCGTGTGGGTGGTGCGTGTGGGTGGTGCGTGTGGGTGGTGCGTGTGGGTGGTGCGTGTGGGTGGTGCGTGTGGGTGGTGCGTGTGGGTGGTGCGTGTGGGTGGTGCGTGTGGGTGGTGCGTGTGGGTGGTTGGGGGTGGTGTGTGTGGGCGGTGTGTGCGTGTGGGTGGTGCGTGTGGGTGGTGCGTGTGGGTGGTGCGTGTGGGTGGTGCGTGTGGGTGGTGCGTGTGGGTGGTGCGTGTGGGTGGTGCGTGTGGGTGGTGCGGGTGGGTGGTGCGTGTGTGTGTGTGGGTGGTGTGTGTGTGTGTGTGGGTGGTGGTGTGTGGGTGGTGGTGTGTGTGGGTGGTGGTGTGTGTGGGTGGTGGTGTGTGCGTGTGGGTGGTGCGTGTGGGTGGTGCGTGTGGGTGGTGCGTGTGGGTGGTGCGTGTGGGTGGTGCGTGTGGGTGGTGCGTGTGGGTGGTGCGTGTGGGTGGTGCGTGTGGGTGGTGCTGTGTGTGGGTGGTGGTGTGTGTGGGCGGTGTGTGCGGGCGGTGTGTGCGGGCGGTGTGTGCGTGTGTGTGGTGCGTGTGGGTGGGGCGTGTGGGTGGTGCGTGTGGGTGGTGCGTGTGGGTGGTGCGTGTGGGTGGTGCGTGTGGGTGGTGCGTGTGGGTGGCGCGTGTGGGTGGCGCGTGTGGGTGGTGGTGTGTGTGGGTGGGTGTGTGGGTGGTGTCCGAGACCTGCACTCGTGCGATGCCGCGTGTCTGCAGCGAGGGGAAGAGTGACGGGTTGGCGCGCCGCAGGTGCAGCTTCGCCTCCACGCCGCGCCACACGGAGCGGTGGTAGGCGGCGTCGCGCCAGGCCGAGCAGGTCTGGGCGGCGCGGCCCTTGTCCCGCACGTCCAGGTAGCTGAAGATGAGCGCCAGGATCTCGGGGAAGAGGCACGACACGTGCGTCTCCATGGCCGGGTGCGGAGCGCCTCCTCCTCGTCGTCGTGTCGCACGCACACCCCCCTCCACGCCACTCGGTCTCTCCTCTCAGCACCCCCCCTCCTCCTCCTCAAAACTACTACTGTTACCCCGACTGTTACCTCCACTGTTACCCCTCCTCCACACTACTACTGTTACCACGACTGTTACCCCGACTGTTACAGGGTCACTGGTGAAGACCGCTGCGGGTGGTCGTGTTACTGATGATGCTGCTGGCGGCGGCGTTTGTGGCTTTTGGTGTTGGTGACGATTCTCTTGGTTAGTTGTGGTGGTGGTTGTGGTGGTGGTTGTTGGTTGTGATCGATAGTGTTGGGGGATGTGCTACGATCAGTGACTATTATTGGTATTCGTGTCGATGTTGGCGTATTGATGTGTTGCTGCTACGAGTGGTGGTGGTGTCCGTGGCTACTGCTGCTGGCTGGTGGTGGTAGCGCTATGGCTGCGGTCGCTGCTCGTGTTACAGTTGCGAGTCGCGTAGCTTCTCCTGCACACGTTGTAGTGGCGGTGTTGCTGGTGGTGTTGTTGCTGATTGGTGGCGTTGTGCGGCTCCTACTCTTGACGGCCGTCTGCTGCCGAACGCAACCACAACAAGACTTGGATCCCAGTCACGAGCCGCGCGTCGTCTTCACCGTCTTAGGGTGCCCTCCCTCTCCTCTCGCTCTCTCCTTCTGTCTCTCTCTTTCTTTCTTAATTGCCTTGTCGCGATAAGTACCGCACCGGTCGCGAATCTTACTTTAACCCCCCACCCCCGTTCCACGTTCTTGTGTTAAATCAATTAAATTATTCTCTTCTTGATGGCTTGCGAGGAGGAGGGGGTCGGTCGATCGCGAGGCGAAACATTTTCTTCCAATTTTTTTTAACGCCGATTTGAATAAAAAAAACCCGCTCCGCAACGCGAACATCAACGAGAAAACAACTTAAGCAAAAAACAATAAAGAGTGTGAAACATTTATAAAATAAAAGTTTGTTTAAACGCCGCCTCAGAAGCCGCTGCGCACCGCCCCGCGCGGCCAGACACCGCGGAGTCTCGCGCAGGCGGAAACGAAACCCCTCCCCCCCCCGCAGCCCCGCCCCTCCTTCACTCTGACCACGCCCCCCCCCCCCACGGGCCCCGCCTTTTATCCTCCGCTACCCCGCCCCTCACTCCCCCCCAACATCTCCCAGCTTGGTCACAGCCCCCCCCGCCAACCCTCTCGAGTGAAACCCCCCCTCCCCCGCAGCCACATTCTCGCCGCCCCATTGGCTAACGCGCGCACCACGTGGGTTTCCTCTTCCCACTCGTGCGGGGGGTTTTTTGGCGGGGACGGGAAATCGCGGGTGCACGCGGATGGATGACGTCGCTTCCGGTGGTGAGGGGTGGGGGTGTGTGGGGGGGGTAAACTTCAGCCGCTGCCCAGTCACAACCCCCCCTCCCCCAAGCAGCCCCGCCCCTATCCCCCCCCTTGCCCTCGCCCGCCCCTCCCCCACACGGCGGTGGTCGCGAGCGCGGTCTGCGGGGGCGCGCGCGCGCTGTGATGACGTCCGCCCCGCCCGGCGTGGGCGCGAGGGAAGAGGCGGAGTGGAGTGGCGGCGCACGTGGCGGGTGGAGGCGCGAGCCGCGCGCGGTCGCACGGACGCCCTGGAATGGATTTTCACGAAGTGTTTTTAAGAGCAAACAATTTGTGCTCTTTATCTTAATTGGAAGCTTTCGTGGTTCTTTCGGTAACATCACGTAGAAATAACAAATTGTGATCTATTATTTATTTTATTTTTTCTTTACCGAAGAGTAATTTGTGTGCTTTTTAGGGTTTTTTTGCAACGCGTAGGCTCTCGCGACCAAATATTGTTCACTAAAATAAAAGTGGGGTTAGATCGCGTAAGTATAAATGTGTCGTAACCCTCCACCCAAGTAAGGTTTGTCACGCAAACAGAAGGTGCCAATTCGTTAAGAGTACAGCACACCGGTGTGTTGATGAGTAAATCCACTTTGTAAACGTGGATTGGCTCTCCAACACACCGGTGTGCTGTCCTAGTACACTACACTATACACTACACTATATAAACTAGTGCTGTACTCGTACACTACACTGTACACTACGCGCTAGTGCTGTACTAGTACACTACACTATACACTACTCTACACTATACACTAGTGCTGTACTAGTACACTACACTATACACTACTCTACACTATACACTACACACTAGTGCTGTACTAGTACACTACACTATACACTACTCTACACTAGTGCTGTACTAGTACACTACACTACTATACACTACACTACACACTAGTGCTGTACTAGTACACTACACTACTATACACTACACTATAAACTACTCTACACTATACACTACGCACTAGTGCTGTACTAGTACACTACACTATACACTACACACTAGTGCTGTACTAGTACACTACACTACTATACACTACACTATAAACTACTCTACACTATACACTACGCACTAGTGCTGTACTAGTACACTACACTATACACTATTATACACTACACACTAGTGCTGTACTAGTACACTAAACTATACACTACTATACACTGCACTATACACTACACGACACACTAGTGTTGTACTAGTAACGAATTGCCACGTTCTGTTTACGTGACAAACCGTACTAGTTGGCTGTGCCGGGTGGTGGCGGGTTTGACGACACATTAATGTGTCTGCGATCTAACCCCCAATAAACCCTTACACATTCTACTCGTTGCTAATTGTCGTCGTGAAGACAGCGAAGCGGCAGCCTGCGTGCACGATCTGCTTCGTCTTCGTTAGGCACGCGTTTATATCATTATCATCATAATCCTATCGTAAGTCACAGGACTGCCGTCTTTTGCTATTCCCAGTTTACATTTGTACCGATATAAAACCTCTTTTCTCGGACTTGTGGATTGTGGTTGAATGGAATTTGCGTACGAGCTGCATTGAAGCCGCAGTGCACAACACGTCCAGTATTTGTGTGTGACGCCAGGACGCATGTTGACGTGGGACGTCACGTAAACTTCACAAACCTTGTAAAACTCGGCGTTATTAATGCCATTGTTTGAGGC